CCCTAACCCTAACCCTAACCCTAACCCTAACCCTAACCCTAACCCTAACCCTAACCCTAACCCTAACCCTAACCCTAACCCTAACCCTAACCCTAGCCCTAGGGTTGAACCATTGCCTGACTGGCGACAGCCGGGAAGTCCTGCAGAGCTTGCTCAGACTGCCTTGGCTCGTACCTCATGGAGGTGTGGCGCAACAAAAGCTACGGGCCTGAAGATCGCCTGCGAATCTCAAGTACTAACTACTAGCTGAGAGCGCTGAGGCCAATGTTCATCGCCACGAAGCTCGTACATCAGGGCCACCCCGATGCGCCGTCCATCAATCTTCGCAGCCGAACAGCGAATGCTAATAGCTTGCAACCATGGGGTCAAGTTGCACGTGTGAAGCTAGCCTCAAAGCAATCTGTTTGCCCAGTGACTCCATCCTACGCGCAGAGCGATCGACAGGGTCTGCCCACTGTAAAGGTGGAATCTCGAGCTTGTCTTGGGCCTGATATACCTCTACCCTCTTCTGATCCCTACTCTAGGTATGTCAAGAACTATTTTCTACGACTCCGTCAACCTAATTCAATGTTGCCAACCGTGATGCACATTCGCACCATCCTCCAAGGCTCGCCTATTCTTGTTGTTCTCCTCTTCGGAGTGACACGCGCGGCGCCTAGCCTTGTGCAGGACGCGGTGGGCTCGCGAGGCACAAAGGTTGCCCATGAGACTCTTGATGGACACAGGCTGAGTATCCCTGCACCTGAAGATCCATACATCATACGGATTGGCACGACCGAGTATTACTACATCGACAAGCTTCGGCCGCTGGACAACGCACAGGAGCATAAAGAGCAATTCGAGTGGCTGTTCCCTTACCCTGATGCTTCCCTCAAGCTCGGTGAGCAAACGTTTGACGCGAGCGTCGTTCACAAGGACGGTACAACTTTGCGCATCTTCCCGCAAGAGTACTCACGTTTCTTCTCTGCCGCCATTTTCAACAAGATTCGCGACGAAACTGTTCTTCCCGAGCATCCCCGAGGTAATCAGCTGATCGAAAAGTTCGAGATGAACGACGAACACAATTTGCGGAAGCGAAGCCGTTCCGACATGCACTGTTACATCAACAGTGACTGCTACAGTGTCATCTGTGACAGATTCATTCAGCCACAGATCGAAACTTACTGCGACAAAGGCCCCACACTATCCAACTACGTCGGCATTCTTTGCAGCTTCATCTAGTGCCGCCGATTCGAGGAGGCACGTCCAATGGGCAAGCGCAGCACCTCTGAATTGGAAACAAACAAAGCCATCGACGCATTGATGTGGCCGGACCACATGGAAAAGCTGGACATCACGAGCAAAGCTCTGGGTAAGTGGGACGGTGTCTGCTGCAACGGCGCTCCGAACATTCAGTCGACGGATGCTCAGATTTGTGTAACATATTTAATCCTGACTACGATTACAACTGCACCGACACCATCTATGCCATTGACAGCAACACCTGCATCATGACCTGCGAAATTGGCGACAAGAGCCTAGTCAATGGTGGCAGCCTTAGGGCCGCTTGCTACAATATGAGCCATTGCGTGTCAGAAGGCCGCTCTGCAGATGAGACCTTCCAATATCAGACGGAGGATCAAGAATATGTCGTCACGACGCTAATGACCAAGGCATAGGAAGTCGCCGCATCAACAATCAAGTGCATAACCGTTTAGCCTAACTTTCATAAGCGTTTAGCCTAGCCTTTAGTTTGAAGCGATGATAGCGAAGGCGAAGTCGCGTCGCCTTGAGTTCCTTGCCCTTTCCCCAAGTTTGAGATCAGTGTCCACTTTCCTGGAATGTGGGTTTCTTGGGTCAGGGTTCACTTAGGTCGGTGAGGTCTGCAAGTGTGATGATAATAATAATGATGATGGTGGTGATGATGATGATGAGATGATGATGATGAGATGATGAGATGATGATGATGATGATGATGATGATGAGATGATGATGATGAGATGATGATGATGAGATGATGATGATGAGATGATGATGAGCAGTGACTGCAGTGGCGACGACTTGGGACAAATGCTGGCAGTATGCACAAGTGTGCAAGGACAGCGCAAGAATGCACAAAGCGCGAAGAGCTTTGAATACGATGACACTGTTTCGGTGTGCTGAGCAGCGACATAGCATTCCTTTTCGCTAGAATACAAAAGTGATGAAGAGCTTGGACTCACCTGCAGCCGTGATGCTGACAGCAGCGTGAGATGTCGGCGGAGAAGCGTGGCGAGCCGCGGGCACGCAGAGCACGCGCCCTCCTGCCCGCCGATGCGCCGCCGCCAGCCATAAATGCTCGTCGTCGAGCTTCGCGTGCGCTGCCTCGCTCGCCTCGAGCAAGTCATCACCAAATTGCGCGCAGATCAGGAGAAGTAGCGCGAAGCGTGCGATTCTTGCAGCATGGCGTGGGACAGCAAGCTCAGGCAGCAAGCTCAGGCAGCGACAACATCAGCCTGGGCCACGACGAGCGATTGGTGCGCTGCAGATGCGATACCCGTGCTGCTGAATGCTTGGAGAATGTCTCCCACTGCACATTGCTCTGGTGCCGCCGCTGCTTCTCGTAGACTTCGACGGCGGTGACAAGAACTCAATTTGCATCTGCTAGACTGATGCCTTATATGCTCTAATGGATGACAGCCGCACTCTTCATTGCAGCAGCGGCCTTGGTTCATGCTCTTGCCACCTTCAATAGCGGCGCTCGTGTCCTCTTGCTACTGAGCCTGCGCTTTCTGCGAGCAGGCTAGGTGTAGCTTCGACTTGCTGTCGCTGATGCGCCGTCTCCAGTCGAGCGCGTTCTGCTGCTAAGCTCGTCCTTGAGCTACGCCTTCGGTGCCCTGTTGGTCATCTCATCGCCGCCTTGCACCGGTCTCGGTCGGCTTACGCGGCCGTGAGCGAAAGCAGTAGAGAGACTGCACTTGTGCCTGTCGCCCACTTCTGCTTAGTGAAGCGCTGCAATGAATGATGGATGCATCAGTGAGGAGCGCGAGTGGCTGCCTGGGCTCTGCGCTCACCGAGTAGCCCTACATCACTAGAGTGCTGCCCTTGCTCTTCCGAACAGTGGCACATTGCCTGTCAGCGGTCAGTCCTTGTCCTCGGTGAGCGCGCGCCATCCTTGGAACTCGAGCTGTATCCTCCGGCGGATGCCCAGGTGCTGCGCTAGTGGAACTTGGGGGTAGTGCCGTGGCTGGTGCCTTGGCGGATGGTGCACAATGTGCGCGAGCGAGCAGGGCGAGCGCGTCGTTTTCGGCGGGCTCGTGCCCTGCGTCATGCGGCCCCCGGAGCTCGACAACCTCTGGAAGAACTGTGGCTTCCCGCGCTGGAAGATCGACGCTTACACGCGTCAGGATGTCTACCTGAACAACGGCTGCGCGGGCATGAGCCAAATTAATAAGGCCGGCCTGTAGGCGCACGACTCGGCCAAGTCGCTTTACCTCGAGGGCGTGGCGAACGCGCACAACCTGTACAAGCGCGAGGCACACTTCAGCGGCGGAGATTGGGCGCTCGTCCTTGCCAACGCCAGAAAGGGATGGCTCGAGTACATTCGCGACGTCGACTACGAGGTGCCCTCACTGAGAACTGTGAAGGCGATGCTGGGACTCTGACAGCAGCAAAGACCTGCCCTTGGCCTTGCGTCCGGAGCATAATGAATCGGAGCCCCACCCCGTCTGTAGCATACATCTCCGAATTCGTCGCGAGGGAGCCTCGCCGGCGAGGATGCCTGCTCGCTTTGAGCTTGGTTCGCGCTCATTCATGCATCACTTGATAGACTGCGCCTCACGCACGGCGGCGAAGAGGAGCATGATGAGCATGGTGACTTCCAACATACGATTCTGCGGCCGCTGTAAGCCAATCTGCCCCGAACAAAGCATCGCGAGCGCCGCGTACAGGTAGGCATATTGCGCCATTCTGTGATGAGAATAGGTAGGAGATTCGCATCCAGGAGTTTCCCCCGAGATGAACACTCACACTTCTGTGTTGAGGGTTTACCTATGATGCAAAGTGATCACGTGATGTAATGTCTTGCGGAAGAGGTTCACGTGAGCCAATTCCAGCAAATTGTAGGACAACAAATGTTTCTCGGCCTCACCAAAACGATGCGATCTGGCTGTGGGTACCAACGCAAATGCTCGTACATGCGATCCCGTGTTAAGCACGAGCATGTGTGTGGGCACTTCCTTGCTGTGATTCGGCGATGATTTGCAACGCCTTTCGCAAAAGTTGTTCGCCTTGCTCCGTGAATGCAGTTGATGAGAGGATGAGGATGACGGTGAACGGCGAGACCCGATCGCCGACGATCCTGACGGTCTGCTCTTGAGATCTGAGACTACTTTGAATTGTTTAGTCTTGACTTCGACGACTTGGCAGAGCTAGCACTTCTCTGCGGAGAGAATCCTCGCTCTCAGCTTTACCAGATCGTGCTCGTCGCGCCCGTGCCATATGGAAGCAACCAGCGCCAAGTGTCACTGTAAGAGTATTTCCTTCGACGACTCATCGTACCTACTCGTACGATGCCCTCGAGAAGTGGCCGTGGCGGAGGAATTGGCTTCGCTGATCGCACTTCACAAGACAACCAGCTGCATATTGACCTGGTGTACCACAATGTCACCATTAGGTTCTTATACCTCAACACCAGAGGCGCAAATGCGACACACGTAATTCCTAACGTCTTTCTGGCTACACAAAGGGCATCCAACGGGCGAAAAGGGTTCCGCCGCGGTATTCACAGTTCAGATTACACATGCGGGCATCTTGTATTTTGGCGTGATGATGATCTCTAAGAGGAACACCAGCTGCGCCGGGGTCGTCCCAGCGAAGAACCACGCATGCCGAGATCGTAGAGGAGGCCCTTGCACTTTCTCAGAGGCAGAAGGGTGAGGCAAAGGAGACTGTCGCAAATTCTCTTACTGCGCGTGCAGCCAGACGAGCTCGAACATGAAAGATGGGCAGATGCTCGGTGAAGCAGGGCAGGCGGGGGAATACGCGAGAGCGCACAGGTCTTCCCTGCTAAAGCGCAAGCAGTGCATGCGCCAAGGTCAGCGAGCAAACAAAGGCCGACAGCCATGTGCCGGCGGTGCTGACGACCGGTGCGCCGTTGTACGGTGCGGGTACATTGGTCCCAGCCTTCAAGACCCGGCAGCCGACGCCTTCTGGAACGCATGCAGCGAGTGTTTGCGGCAGGACCGGACCGATGCAATGCGATTCGAAGGCCAGTGCATTAGACGATGGGACGTAGGTGCCATTCTGAGCGGCGCAACACTTGGGCCCGTCGTTGGTACTTGTCGGGAGGCTGCAATTGAAGATGGTCGGGACGTATGGCACATCGCGAATCGCGAGCCCGGCATACATGGCGGTCGCTGCAAGGCATAGCACACATAAATCAGACAAGAAAAGCTCGCGAATTCATCATGTTGCATGACGCTCACCAGGTCAGATGCGCATGGGGTGTGAATGGGCCAGAGGACAGTCAATCTCGAGACGACGTAGCGGGGCGCGACGTTTGTAGAGCACCAAGAAGAATCACGAGCGGCTTGTTAAATACTGCATGGGCGTTGCAACACGGGGTTCCGTAGGATGACAAGGAGCACCAGGCAATGTATTTGACCTCGGGAGAAACATGATTGCTGCAAGGTCGTACTGGTGGTCCTGCACAGTCCGCTCTGAATGATGGAGATCAAGCCTTGTTTATCGATACCCACATCGTTCAATCAACACGCTCTTTGCTAGCCAATTCACGCCTGCATATTCCATTGCGCCTGATGCAGCAGACTATGAAATCCGACAAGAGCAAGTCAGAGGATCATGCGCGGAGTTATCATTGTACCGGCTTGGCAGGGCAATAAGGATGCTGTTACCTGGCGACGGGCCGCGAATAAGCTTGTGGCGCTGGTCGGGTCCGCATGGTCTCGGTACAAAAGATTGGGCGCAATGCTGATCGACACGCGCGAGAAAACGAGATATCCGTACGAAAACATGCTTGCTCGTTGCGGCTGAACGCCCCAGGTCTCTGCATGTTCCGACCACAGATTTGAAGCTCCATGGTTGCGGTTCCTCATCGGGATATGTACATTGCTTGCTCGGTCTGGAGTTCTACATGTATCGGCGCGATGTTGGGAATCGCAAGACCCGATCCCATGAACTGCGTCATTACCCGTCGCGCTGCGCATCAGTGTCAGCAAATCGGCTTCACTCTGCAATCAAGCTGCGGTCGGTCGACAGCGTGGGCAGCTCTCGCCTGCCCTGCACTTCAAGCCTGCACTGCACCTCAAAACGCCGCAGCCGTGCATTCAGCTGGACGTGAGCTGCTTCTTGTGACGGGCATTGTTTCGGATAGCCGTGCCTACCTTTCCGGGAGACTCGAAATCAACCGCCACCCGCTGCAACCTTATCCTCCATGCGATGCGGCAGAACGCAATCCTATCCTGCGGTACAATTTCTCTCCTCTTGCGGCTGCGTATGGCGCGGCGAAGTAGCTTCATCGGCCGCCAGCACGTTCCAGCATAGTGGCGAGCTGGGGACGGGCTGGGGCATTCATCGTCTTTTGCTACCCAGAAACTCAAGGTTAGGCACATCGATCGGGTATAAACAAGAGCATGGTCTGCAACGGTTCAAGAGGTCCTGCACCAATTCCTCACCTTCTCGGCCAATCTGTCTCTGCTCTCAAATATCCTCGTCATGTGGGTCAAGCTTCTCACCGCTACGACTGCCGCTTCGGCCTTTCTCCACGAGGTAAACCGGTCCGACCTGATCCCGCCGAAAGCAGTCAGACGAATTGACATGTAATTTCCGCAGTCTGTGGCCCTCTCTACCAAGGAAAGACGTATCTACAAGGGCGCAGACAACTTCATGTACTGGGCCGACGGTACGCCGGTCGACTGGAGCGCGGCGCTCCCACCTCTGGCGCGCACGCTCGCCGTTGAGTCGCTGCTGGCGCGTCAAGATCCCACTACCAACGAAGACTCCCCTGCTGTCGAATGCAGGCGCAACGGGTCGTTGAGCGAGCGAGGATGCGGAGAGACTTGCAACGTCAAGACGATCCGCGTTGGCGACGGAAATCCTCACCAAAACTACAGATTCGTTCAGCGAACTGACAACCATGACTGCACTGACAACCCCACCTGTTCCATCTTGCAGTCTGTCAGCGACACGACTGGCTGGTCCGTCAATGGTGGCGGCAGAATCAAGGGTTGGATCAGCGGCGGATTCACCGTCACTCAGTCGCACACGGTCGGCGATACTAAGGCCTGCGGTGGCAGTCCAGGCGATCGAGTCTGCATCTGGTACCAGACTGATCTGGCGGCATACACTGTCCAGAACAAGAAGACCTGCAAGTATGAAGGCACCAGCTACGGTCGAGCGGATGTCATGTTTTCGCCCAACAGTCGCCAATGCGGTCTCGAATAGCACTGCCGCAAGAACGACGACTGCGCGTACAATGGAAAGGAGTATTACATCAAGTGCGGTCCTGCTGGCGACGAAAACTGCGACGCCCGCGGTGACGGTTTCGGAAAACGCTATTACAATATTCCGAGCGGCTGCTGATTGCTCGGCGTGGTCGACATGACAAGCAATGCGCGGCTGCCTCGACCCACGGTCGCATCGTACTTTTGCGACGCTCATAATGCTGATTTGCACAGAACGGACAATGTTGATCACAGGTTACCTTCTTTGCAACCTGTAGTATAGCGGCTGCTAATACATGGCAGGCCTTAAGCTGTGTTGCCCACCTATGATCGGACGTGTATGCGCGGCATTCTACTATGTACTCATCAGCACATGGATGTGCGGTGGATGTCTGATGCAGCTTTTGCAATGTGCGCGAGTAAGCGTGTAATTACAACATGTTCCGTGACAGAGATGGTTGAGAAATCGGAATCAGCTTGCCACAATTCGGACAATATTAGCGAGGGCGGCGGGTCGAGCGGATGTGGTGTTGGGAAAGTGGGAAGTCGCAGTATGGAAATCAAATCTCGCTGCATTGGATGTCGGTCTTGACAGTGGTGGAGATCTCGCCAGGATCATCGCCAATGCGGCGCCGATCTCCTCGAGAGTCTTACCCGCGGTTTCGGGGAAGACAAAGTAGATCATCCAAAAGTAGACGAAGCTGCAGCAGACGATGACCATATAGTATTTCCAGCCCCACGGATTGGAAGCCAAGGGATGCAGTCTGCAGCAGAATGCGCGTGCCGGCAAATTGACCAAAGAGCGAGAAGCCATTGCCGATAGCACGGATCTGCATGGGGCTGAGAGGCAAGGCATGTGAGTCCCGAGGCATGATGTCGCGGATGTAGCTGTCGATCGAACTCACAAGGTCTCCGAGACATACAGATACATCGAGCAATCGATGAGCGTGCCCTGGAACGCCAGGTATAAGAAGATGATGGAGATGGCGAATCCATTGCTGACTTTGTTGTCAGTCGATGCGAATGCGGCGGTGAGGGCGGCTTCGACAGCAACGAGGATGCAGCATGCAGCGATTCCGACAAGCATTGCAGTACGCCTGCCGATGCGTCCCATGATGTTGGCCCCGAGAATGTTCCAGAAAATTGCAGTGGTCAGCCAGAGGGCAATGAGTAAGAATGGCTTCCAGCCGGACATTCCGAGATTGGAGTAGATGACGAAGGATGAGTTGTTGATGACGAGAGGGCCGCCAGGCTGCCCGCCGAATTGAACGAGGAACCCAGTCAGGAGACGCTTGCGGAATGATGGAACCGACAGGACGCGCTGCCACTTGTTGCCGTGGCTGGCTTCGCGCTCTTTCTCATGCGCGATTTGATCCGTGATCTGGCGGTACTCCTCATTGGCCAGCGCAACGTTGTAGCGTCCTTGACTGGCCGAGTCAGCAAAGCGCTGCACCGCCTCTGCTTCGGATGCGGGAGGCGTAGCTCCGGCGATAGCGACGCCACCGCGCACGTGGATGGCGGCGAGCGTGATCCATGCCTCATCCATTCGACCCTTGGAGAATAGCCAGCGAGGAGAGAAGGGCACCCAAGGGGAAACTAGGAGTAGCGCAGTAGGCGGGATGCACAGCACGGCGAGCGGGAAGCGCCAAGAGAAGTTCAAGCTCACCCCAAAGTAGCAGCCAAAGCCGATCCAGGCTAAGAGGAAGTAGCCACCGACAAGGAACATTGCGTGGAAGCCAACTTCCAGACCTCGGCCCATGGGCTTGGCCAGCCCGGCTTGGAAGAGAGGAACCGATGTAACGAGCATCCCGATGCTGAGACCCGAGAGGAAGCGGGCGGCGTACGACATGGCCAAATTGTTGGGTACGCAGCCCGCCTGCAACGCCGCGGCGATGATCTCAACGAATGCGCCGAGCTGAATTAAACGTTTGCGTCCGATAAGGTCGAAAAGAACCATGCAAAGCAGGAAGCCGGCCGCGCCACCACCGGCAAAGAGACCGTTGGTCGCGGCGGTAACATCGGAGTAGCGCGAGTAATCCGGTGCGGTGGGGTCTGCGGTGGGGCCGAAGGCGGCAATCCAGCCAGACTGTCCGACGGTGGTGGAAACGATGGAAGCACCGTGGCAAGAGGCCATGGATCCAAGAGCGGCGAAGGCGATGACGACACGGGTGGTCAGGGTGGACTTGTTGCGAGCAACATTGTGTGTGCGAGGCTTCCAGCAGCGCCATCTCGCCAGGTTTTCTCTTGTTGGCCCGACCCGTACGGGACAGCGTCGCCCTTTGAAGACATGCTGGCTGTCGAGAGATCCCTGTTTGTCGACATGGAGATGTTGCGCTATGCAGGTTTGTCACGGCGCGTGATGGAGTATGGAGGTGGATCGTTGTAGTGAGATGAACCGGTCCGGATGGGTGAAGAGGCAGACATCGCGACGATGTTCCGGATAGCCGAAGCTCGTCTTGTATGCACCTGATGGAGCACGAACTTGTCGAGCAACTTCCGTGGGATCGAAGTTCACTCCCCACACTTTCAGCGAATCTTGCAGTGTTTAGGCCGCTATCTGCTGTCGACAGAGCAAGAGGCGCTCAGCACATCCGCGCCACACCTTACACCTGCACGCCGACAGGCTGCAATGTGGGGCCCCACTTTCATCGCTCGTCCTTGAGCAAGCATCAGCCTGGGGGAGTTGTACGGGCGATTGTACACATGTGTAATCCATCTTAAGGTGTATGTATACACACCATCGATGATGTCGAGATTGTGGGTTGCCTGCCTGATTGCCGCTCCATGTGGGCTGTCGGCGCAATTGAGATGATAATCTCCATGGTTCCCGAAATGCGAATGCCAACAGGAACGGAACCAGATCTGGAATGGCTTTGGGCTACGAGACCAGTCTGCAAATGGTGAATGCATGGTGGCCCCACCATGGGCGTGAGACTGATCGGGCGTTGTACGAGTATGTGGCGCGAGAAACCGCAAGTCTCGTCCCGAAGCGTTTCATGTACTAGTGTATGGGAGAATCGGACTCGTACATACAGACCGCATATGGCACAGGGTCCTATTGCGCCCAAAAGCCCACTCCTCAGCTTGCTCGTGGTGGCTCTATCCCCACCCTGGGTATTCGACTCTTGCACCTACATATCGCTCGCTCTGGACATCGCTGTAGCAACAGCGCGGGGGAAGCCCGTGGCCCGCCCTCCTTGGAAAACGCCTGTGTCCACACAATGCAAAGTGCCTGACGTCACGTTCGGCGCGCGGCGCGGCCCCACTCCGCTCACCCAGGCTTGGGGGTCGGTAATCGTGAGCCACATTGAAACAAAGACCGTGGCGTTCAGAAGAGCACAGCCTGGACCGTCCAGAGCGCTTGCGACCTACAAGTATCTCCACAATTCGACCACGTCTGGCGTGTTGCTAACCCTTGCATACGTGTGTAAGACAATGAGGATCTCCCTCAACGCCACCTTCCGTAACAATGTGGATTGACCCACACCGTTGCGGCCGATGACACCGTATCGCCTTCCCCTCGCGAGCGAGAGCGTCGCATTGGTCAGGATGCAGTTGTTGCCAAAGTTGAGATCGATGTTTAGCAAGTTGATGTCTTTGTTCTTGCCTCGGACACCTGCGGTCTCCAGAGACTTCACCTTAAGGAACATCTCGTAGTTCTCCTGCCTCCTGGCATTCTCGACGAGCTTGCTGCTCTCGTACCGATCCCGCTGCACCCGCTTGGCCAACTTGGCCCTAGCCTTGGCCTCCTGCTTTTCGAGCTTCTTGATGTCGACGGTGCTCCGCACCTTGCTGCTGCCGCCTAGGGATACATCGACAGTGCCAGATTCAAAGCCTGTCATCTTGCTGGGCCCGAGGTTGGCACATGCTGACCACGCGATCCAAGCGGGTCAAGCCGTTGGAGGCCAGACCATCTGCCCCCGCGCCGTCCTCGCCGGTGCCGTGTCTCTGAGGCAGGTTCTGCGCAACGATCTCTGCGATCTGCTTCAGCACCCGCTCCAGCGACTAGGCCGCCTTGGCGTCATTTAGCGTCGCCGACTCCAGCGTTGGCTTCACTGCCCACAGCGGGGGCACAGCGCTCCATCACGTCAAGAGCAAGACCTCCCTTGCGAATCCATGCTATCGTCTGTACAAGTGCAACCTGAAATGATAGGGTGCTCTCGTATTGAAGACATTGAGAAGACTCGAGTCTCTCCTCCACCAAGTCGCTCTACGAGCTAGTTGGCAAAATCTGCTGGCGTGCACCGCTGCTACACCCCTCGTCTCTCGTCTCCATTCCACGCCGTGACATTCAGCAACTCTGGTATACACAAGATCACGCAGCGGAGGAGCGCTCGCAAAGCCCTCCACGGCCGACGCCGTGCAAGTGCCGACGGATCAAGGGCGGTAACGGAATGCCGGGTGACGCGGGCCAAGCCGGGAGATCTCCTCCTGCGACATGTGTGACACGTCCACTTGGTACCTGCTTTCGTCGCGCGCCTTGTTCTGCCGGTAGATGTAGAGCATAGTCGCCGCCGAGAGCACAAAGATGGCCACAGAAAATGACAGACTGTAGAGAGAGAGATAGCACACAAAGGTCTCATGAGCGTTGTGCACGCGCGGAGTGCAGACGAGAGGCAATAACTCACACTGCCGAGTTAGCACCCAGATAGAGAGGGGCATCGGAAGGCTGGAACGTCCACGTCGAAGCCACGCCGCCTGTGTGCGAGCAGACGTGCACACGCCGAGTGTCAGGGTCAGCGCAGCTCCTCGTGCACGCCGAGGACGCAGTAGCCGCTCACCCAAATTCCCAAAGAAGACGACCAGCGCAATGGCACCGTTGCGAGCGCTGTCGCTCGTGACCTGCGCAATCGCCCAGGCATTGCAGAAGGCACCAAGCGGAAACGCACCAGCCATGCTGACGAATAAAGCTGCGAACTTGACCTCGCTGCGAGCGTTGCCCACGAAGATTGCGTAGCCCAGGATCATGAGCAGACTGGCCAGGAGGAAGAATGGGCCCCTGCGTTTGAAGCGTCCGGAGAGGTAGGGGAGCAGCACGGTTGAGATAGCGCCAACGATGTACGGCGGTACGGTGAGCAGCTGCAGCTGCACCGTCGTGCGGCCGGGGAAGAGCGTGCGCACGACGGTCGGTGTGAAGAAGCCCAGCGACTGCGCGGCAATGTTGTCGAAGAGGAAGATGAGGGCGATGGTGATGGTGGTGAAGCTCTTCATGGCATTCCACAGCGGCTTGAGCTCTAGACCCTCGACCACCTCGGTGGTGGCCACGTTTTCCGACTTGATGCGCGCAAGTGCCAGTGCCTTCTCCTCCTCGTTGAGAAACTTGGCGGTCTCGATGTTGGCCGGCACGACAAGGTAGGTGGCCACGGCGACTACGATTGAAATCAGACCTTCGATCAGGAAGATTTGCCGCCATCGAACCACGATGGGGCCCATCGAAGGGCTGACCAGGATGGCCGAGGCCAGGAGTCCACTCAGTGCACCTGCGAGAGGGGCACAGACGACATAGAGCGAGAGCCGCAGCGCCATTTCGTCCTTGCGGTACCATCGTGAAAAGTAGTAAGCAATGCCGGGGAAGACCGACGCCTCGCCCAGCGCCAAGGCGATGCGCACGGGGATAAAGTTGCCAAAGCTGGTGACGAAGGCGCTGCACATGGTGGCCAGCCCAAACAGGAATGCCATCGCCGGAATGAAGCGATGCGGGCCGATGACCTTACACAGAATCGTGCATGGGATCTCGAAGATAGCGTAGAAGATGTAGAAGATGCTGAGCAGGTGGTTATCTGTCGCACAGGGATCCTTAGCAATCTCGCTCCTCGACACAATAGCTGATAGTACAGAACACTCACACTCCAGTCCACGCAGGCCAAGATCAGCCTCCAGTGTGCTCAATCGTGCGTTCCCGATGTTTGCTCTTCAGCGAGCGCGCGAGAACAGAGCATGATTCCGAGGGTTAAAGCAACGCGCGTGTCAGCTTGCGAACGACCTCCTGATTGCTCGGGGGGATCGGTCACCTGTCTATAAATGTCCAGGCGTACAGCAGAGACATCATTGGGATCACTCTAAGATCGATCTTGCGTGTGAGACGTCGCTCGGCAGCCTGGTCGAACTGGACAAGCACATGGCCCTGATCGTCTGTGGCGGCATGCCCCGCCTTGGAGATGGCCTGGATGTCCTTGGTGTCCAACGCGCGCTCTTCCAGCTGCAGCGACTCGCGCTTCTCCTCCGAAGCGTGATCCGGCTGCAGGGGCGACGCCATCGTGGCTGCAAACCCAGGCAAGCGGCCGGGCACGTGGGAGCGGATGGTCGCAGCGATGGCAGACGACTCTTCGGCGCAGCGCAGGGGGCTGTCGAGGGGAATGGATGCAAGTCTGTGCTATTGCGAGTCCCAACGGTCCTGAGCAAGGGTTCTCCGAGCTGTGAAGGAGAGAGCCGCGAACCGCAGAGGTGGTGGTGAATGTGCTGGAGCCCTCGAGGTTTATGAGCAGGCCGGGAGGCAGGCGCACACGAACGCGATAAAAGCAGCGGCAGGAAACGCGGGAGGGATGCAGCCATGCACAGGAGCTGGCAGGATGCAGCACTACGCCGACGGAGGATCTGGACTTGCGGCGCGAAGAAGGTACCGAGGTGCCCGGTCCGATCTGTTGTCCCTCAGAAGCCCCGGAGCAGCCGGATCGAAACTCGAAATCAGAGCCGCACTGGATCGCTGCCACCGAAAGCTGTCTCTTGCCTAGAAGCGACCGGCCTCAAGTCGAGAGCGCGGTTCAAGTGTCAGCTCCCATGTCCTCTGGAGCAGAAGGATGCTCGGCGTTGTGAGACCAGCTACAAGCAGCCTTGCCGTGGGAAGAAGTGATCATCCGCGGGGAAAGACCAAAATGTGGATAAACGCGTGGCTTTGTGCCTCCAGCCGCACTGCTGCACTGCTGCACTGGCTGCACTCCTTGCAGGTACCCCACCCGCTGGGGTCGTCGGAGAACTCTGACTTCCCCGCTGCGGCTCTGCCCCGCAACAGAGCTCTGCTCAGTGCCCCGACTGCTGCTGGCTGTCGCCCTGCGCATCCTCTGCGATGGGCTCGCCGCGCTGTACATCACCACCGGACCTGGAAAAGCTCGTACCATGACACAAGGGCCGGGAGCACCTCACAACGAGCCAGGCATGCATAGAGCATATACCACCTCCGTAGCCAGGCGATGACAAGACGATGTAATCATGTTTGGAATCACGTGAGTCATTACAATCACTGTGCTGGCCTATCAATCACAAGACGGACAGCTGAATGATGCGTCCAGAGACGGACGATGATTCAAGAGCCGAACCACTAGCCGCTGATGAGATGCAACACCTGGCCTGTCATGATGTTGTTCGAGCCTGCGTCAGCCAGATAGACGTACGACGCCGCGAGCTCCGCCGGCTGGCCAGGCCTGCCGTGCAGAAGCAGCGCTTCGACCCCCCAGCCTTCCATCTGCTCGGGAGTGCGGCTGGCAGGTTCCTGTTCATGGTGTGAGAAGCATCGTCAGGGGAGGTATGGCAATGGACACCCACAAAGTGGCATTGAGGACTCACCAGCGGCGCAAAGACGGATCCCAGAGCCACTGCGCAGACCTGATACCACGCGGGGCAAGCTGTGTGTGCCGCGAGGGAGAGCTTGAACGAGACGATGGCACCTGAATGAGAGCTCGATGGAGGGTCTGTCCCCGCGCACAGTCACGGCACGTCAACTCCCGGAGACTCGCCTTTGGTCGAGGCATAGTCGACCATGCCAGCACTTCCCTTCTATGCCGTGAGAGAAATGCATTGATGATGGTCGAGCCACGTTTCATGTGTGGCAGTGAGAACTTGGCCATCGCCAGCATGTCGATGATGCTCGTCTGTGATCAACGGGCATCAGCTGCGATCCACCGTATGCTCTGTTCCATCGTCATTTGCTTGCTTACCTGGAACTTCTGCTCGACCACATCGAGGTCGATGTCTTCTAATGCCTTGCATTGCCTGTGTAGAGCACGATGATCTGTGCATCAGCTGTGCCTGTCGCATAGCCGAGACGTTCAAGGTAGCTCACACCTGCATGCTCGCATTGTTCACGAGGATGTTCAGCCCGCCGTACTCGTCCACGTGCTTAGCAACCATCCTCTGTGCCTCGTCCCTGCTCTTGAGGTCAGCTGGAACGGTGTGGATCTCCTTGACGCCATGCGGTGCCGAAGCTGCTGCTTTCTGGACCTCTTCGGCATCGGCTTGCTCCTTGGCGAGGTGCGTGATGGTGACCTGGCACGCCTCCCTGGCAAAGGCGAGGGCTACTGCGCGGCGGATACCGCTATCACCACCGACGTTGATGACGCTGTTGTTGCTACCGTGCATGTATCCGATACGGTCTCACCTGTCGTAGGCAGATGCTGATGCTGTGTTGGACGCTGGCGGCCGTGCAGACACTGCTGCAGGCCATGGCCATTGGTGGCGCTCTCGTCACCGACAACCGGGTCTACATAAGCATGTGCGTGCATACTCAAGACTGTCTGCTGCTTCTCTTGCTCCCTGCCCACACCTGCCAGCTTGGCCGTGCACGCCCAGTAGCCACCTCTGCTCCGCGCAGCAGGTGCCGAGCTCGCTTTGGTCCTTGGCCCAACCCACATGATCAATCTCTGGAGAGCGCAGCAGGCGCCTGCGCAGAGCAGACTGGAGCGAGTGTGCAGCCCGTGGTGCAGCAAAGCGGACATCTTTCGCAGTCTTACCTCTTGATGCCAGACGCAGAGCTTCCTCCCCGTCTGCTGCATTGCATTCGTTGCCGTCTGGTTGTCTGCTCGCCTGGCACTCTTGCATCGCGCCGTGGAATGGGCGTGTCGAGCCCGACGTCACCACGAACAGGGAGGCGGCGTCCCACTGCGCTGTTCCTGTGCATGCCGCAGAGCAAGTCAGAGACTGGCAGAATGGAGCGAGGATGCTCAGCATAGGCTCTTCGATCCTCCTCCTCTGCGCTCACCTTAAGCACCATCCTGGCGCTCCTCGCAGGCCGAACGGGGAGAGACGCAGCTTCGGAGAAGACAGCAGTGTCATCGTGGCTTGTTCAGGGAATCGACCGAAGGTAAGCACGCTACCTCGCCGTGTCGCCCTTGCACGCGCTAGCCGAGAGGAGGCCGCGCACTCCCGTTGCAGGAGCATGGCACGGTCCAGGCGATAATCTCACCCTCCCCAGCGGACTACCCAGACTGCCCCGCCGCTGATCGCAATCGCTTCAGCCGGTGCTCGCAATATCGCTAACGATACACGCAATCATTCGCTGCTAGTGCCTCGCTCCATCTGTGCCAATGCCCGAGCTGTTGCTGCTCCTGGAGAGAAAGATGGTCAAGGTCCGGGCGATTGCCCTGTTGCCTGGATGCAGCCTGTTCCTCGCGCCTGCTACAAGCAGGCGACCAAACTGTCCAGCCGCACTCGCAAAAGCATCCCACGTCATGTATTCCATTGCTGCGGTGGCCAGCCCTGCTTTGGTTTGGCTACGCTACACTTCGGCTGTGGATGTGAACAGGTCTGCGCTCGGGCAACTGCTTTGCGGGTGGTGCTCCGTGCCATTCGCTTGCCGCTGCCGATCGCCACCGGCCAGCATGCTCACCCTCGGCTCTTTCGCCTGCCTTTCCCGCCACAGCCTTACCATGGGTTGAATACAGCGTGGTTTGCCAGCAGTGAACCGCAGTCGAGCAGTGCATGCCACCGCCTCTAGCAGAGAGAAAGAAGCCTTGTCTCACGTGCGGTCCAGCTGTAATTCGGGTCAAGACATGTTGCACGATTGTAAGGTACACCAAAGGAAATTTGGCCAGTCGTAATACCTCCCATTGCCTTCAAAACACCAGAGTAGCCTGTGTTGGCAGCCACTGTCGGATGAGGTAGGGATCAATGAGCATGCGGTGCGGGCGTAGGCCAGCAAGCTGCCGGGCAAAGCTTTGACCCGGAGCCCCAGCTCTTGTCGACTACTCACGGATTACACGCAGAAGAGTCCAATCGCCCGAAGAATCATCCGAAAGGGAGACACGAACGCTCCTGCTTCGAGTACCTTCTTCACGGCTCGATCGCAGTCCCAACGTCCGCTCTGGTTTGTGATGTAGATCCTCATACACTACCTGGAGCACTGTCCGCCGAAGATATTGAGTTAAAGTAGTCTGAAACTCTCTCCGTTACCACTTTCCAATGGTGCTGGCTCGGTGGATTTCCGTAAGTGCGTGTCATCCAGTGCTCCCCCGATTCCTATCGCTCTGTCAAACACTTCCCACAGCAGGGCGACGAACCTGTCTCACGCATCAGGCCCTCTGAATTGACCGTCGATGACAAAGCACAGACCCCCTTCGCATACCCAGTGATGAGGGTTTCACGCGTGATAGTAGCAAGCCTCATTGATTCTGCTGAACAGTCTGGTGAACGTGTCGCAGTTGCGCCATGGGCACTCGGTGTACACCAAGTTCCACCCTATGTTGAGGATCTTTTCGGATTGATGTTTAGCCAACGTCTCTGCCACCGACGCCTTGCCCGCTCCACTAGCCGCGCCTGCTACTTGCTTGGTTGCATTTCCCATGTCCACGGTCGAGTATCTGTCGCTCAGTTGTCTGTACACTTCGAATGACGTGGCGTTGCGCGAGTAGTCGCGCAACGATTCATAGAAGGCGGATTCGATGTGCACGTCCAGATATTATTTGAAATCTATTCAGATTTCAACGCCTTGTTGTCTGGTGCCTGGAGCTTACGGTACGGCCAGTACAGCCATGTACGCCTGCAGTGCGAGCAGCACGGCGACCAGCCACCCTGCCGTCCGCATGGTTCGCGCTCTGCCGAATGCACCGCTCCTGTAGACATAGCCGCAGTCGGGCCTGTCCCTCACCGAGACGTTGTAGGTGATGTTAATGGCCCAGCTCATGGCATTGACGTCGCTGCAACAGGTGTCGTTCAGCCTCTCAAACTTGCCCTCACACCACGTGTCGAGAAAGCTGGTGGTAAGGTTGGTGCAGCAGTACTGGTAGGGATTCATGTCGCAGATCTCTCGAGACGGGTTCTGCCCTTCATCCGAACCCAAATGCCGCGGGAGGAAGGGGGTCGACAAGGCTCGTATTTATACGAGCGATCAGGTTGCAGCGTCCTTGCGTTGAGAGGAGAGCCTCAGGGAGGGGAGTGCTCGACGGCGGGGCGTCTGCCAAGGTGGACTGTGCTTTGGAGCTCGGTCCCATGACTATGGGGTGCAACTGCAGGTATAGCTGAGCGCCGAGCTTGGCGCCGAAGCCATTGCCAAGCACAGCCTTCATGCAACCTGTTCCCGACCTTGGCCCTACTGCACATTTGGACAAACGCACCGCTCGACTTGATCGGCTCCAGTCTCGAATACATGCATCATCGCCTCCTGCACGGTTCCGTCTGTATGCGTCGCTGCATCGCCTGCATCTCGGGAGTCTAGAGCAAATGAGGCAAGTGAAGTACTCTGAAGTCCGCCCTGGCTGCTTCTACGTTTCTAGCGCCGATCTTCCTGCAATTGCGCCCTTATCACGCGTTCAGGGTGCAACGAAAAAGGCTTGGCAGGCCATTGCGCCGAAATCTCCAGTCCATTTGCGTCTTTTCTCCTATCAACTTCACCATTTTGTATCCATTCTCCTCCCGCTTCGTTCACATTCAATCGCTTGCCCCAGCTTAAGTGTGGAATTCCACCAGAGGCGAGCGTGACTGGGTGCGCCTTTGTGATTGTCACCTCGGCCGATTGCATGCTCCTGAAATTTAACCTGCGAGGCGATCCTGCTCCTTCCATATATTTTGCATGCTATTGTGCGTCCCTAGACTCGCCCAGCTATTAGACCATACCGAGCGTAGTTTCTCTTCCGCTATTTCTTTGTTACCCCTCTATCTATCCATGTACTTTCATTAACCTCCCCAATTTTTAAATCTCGAAGCATTTGAGAAAGGACGAGTCCATGTATGCGAGCGTTAATCTAAGTTCAATACACCCCTTGTTTCAAGCAATTGGCCAACGCAGCAGATTCAGAGCCCGACTACGCTACATGGGAGGCATAAGCCCTTGCGAATCGATCATGTGTTGTGTCGATAATTTCCATCATGCGTATCTGTCTTGCTTGGAGGGCCCCGTCTCGCTGCCGTCCTCCTCCAAAAGTGGTGCAAGCAGCCTGCCCCAATTGTAACGTGCGAAGAATGTCATGCAGATTGCTTCTGGAACGATATAGACGACCCTGAGGCAATAAAAATATATGATGAAGAGCATGTGAGCGAAAACTCAGTAGCCCTTGTATGGCATACGATGCGCTCACCAAAAGATCGTCTTGAGGTTAACGGTATCATCGATCGAAGTGGACTCGATCTGCACGGCTTTATAGATGACAGCGCAAAGGAGGAAAGCACAGTAGAACGAATCGATTACCAATCTGGAGCGCACGGACTCGCAGTCGACTTTGACGCCAATCAGGGCGCGAACAATCTCGCGCGCGGGACCGACCTGGCTTGCCGATTTTGGGTTCCCGTAAGCTGGCGACAAAGCCCTGTGCACCCACATCCAGCCGATGAGGAGTGCAATGATGAGGTTGATGAACAGCAAGAGGAAGGTGGCAGCTCTGCGCAGGGTCTTGCTGGTGTCAATGTCGTCTATGTCGGTACTCGCTTGCATGGCACCGCCCGAGGTGGTGAGGATGATGCAGGCGATGAGCAGAACGTTGGTGATATTCATCGCACGAGCCACCGCACCCTTTGGGTTCGAATCGGGCAAATTGATCGTTTTGAGGTGCGACTTGACAATGGCGAGTAGCGCCGTACTCAGAAAGATCGGGCCCACGCTGAACAGAACGGCCTCTGCAGCGTACAGGCCGAGCAGCGAATTGGAGTCATCATTAGTATTGAGGATGACCAGCCGGATGATAAAGCAGGCAAGTCGAACAAAGATCAGGATTGATGGCCGCAGAGCCAGAGGGATCGGGATTTGTTTACGGAAGATTCTAATGCCTATGCCGACTGCCACGACGGCATAAACCACGATGAAAACGATGGATGGTGCGAGATCGCGGCTGGAGATGTATCCACCCAACAGAGGGATGGACGTGAAGGCGGCCATCTGCGAAGCTAGGCTGTCACCCATCTTGAATGAACAATCTTAGGCTGTGACGTGCCCTATTGCAAAGTTTTGGGAAACGCCGAAGGCAAGTAAGGAGTAGGAAAGAAAAGGCTGGCTGGATAAGGGTAGAACTTGAGCTTGTGAGATGAATGGAGCAGGAAAGTCGGGCTTGATCTTCCATCTCGAGCACAAGCGTTCTATTTATACATGGGTCTTCGCTACGGCCAAGCTTGTCATCACTTCGTGTCGAACCATTTCTTCGGTCGTTTGCATTGGCCGTGCCTGTTGCTGCACAGTGGCGCCTGATCCTTGACACATGTATGGCGACTGCTGTCTTGCTTGCAGTGTTGGGTCCAGCATGAATTCCTGTGACTCAGAAGATTGAGGGCACAGCCATGGAGTGGGAACATGGAGAAATGGACCAAAAGGTGTTAACAATTGACGGTGCAGCGAGAGCACCATGGAGAACTGCCATGGATATTGGTTACGTAAGGATGCTTGGATAATATACGCGATGGGAGCCCGACGACCAAGTGATCGGCGGTGGACGAAACGCCGCCAAGTAGATGGGAGCGTCCGTCTGTTTGATTGCCTTGGGCCTCAACTTACGTCACTAGCACCTTGTTTGAGAACTTCGCTGGTGTTTTTTTCGTGGATGATGTCCTTCTCTGATGCCGTAAAGACATAGGGACGCCAATCAGTGCACTTTGAGGGTAGATGTAACTTCGAATTTGCAAGGCAACGCACATCATTGAGGATCCACCGCCACCAGTTTTCGTTGATGCTCTCGTGAACAAGCGCCTCCTCCATTCCCTGACACGAATTTCGTCGAAGATTTCGCTCTGCCAGTCCGATTTGGAGCGAACTTAGAATGAAGCTTGTTTGGCTGCTAGCTCAAATTTTGCAACAGGGAGAGTTGTGTTGCAAAGCACAGTAGGCCAATGCCCCGTGTCAACCGGACAGTTTGGAAGAGAACGCAAGCTGATAATTGCGTTTACAGCTCCATTCTCTCTATATCGCAGCAGCTGGTCGATTAGCTTTTGACAGAGATTATAATCTTGTGCAAGCAACCTGAATAACTTTCTGGCTATCATTTGACATGGAGTAGGTGGAAACGAATCCTCAAGGAGGTCTCTACGAGTAAGCACCTTTTCTTTCGTCTGGCCCAATAGATTCTCGTTATGAATAGTCGTAGAGAGATTGCTACCATGCAAGATGATCCGCAGAATAGATCCTGCATCTTTATGCCCTCCCCTATTGAAGCTATCTTCAAATCGAATTCCGTCTGCGTCGTCTGCAGAATCACCTTAAAGAGGAAACAAAAATGAAAAGCGAGCAGATGGCGCCATTGGGTGAGACCCTTTCTAAGGGCTCGCATGCGCAGGCTTGCCAAGGAACCGCAAACAGCCGAAGCAGCCTATGGTGAAGCTGTTCCTTGAATTGAAAGGACTTCATTTCGAGCTTCAGAGGATCGCTTCGGGTTTGGTTGACTTGAACAGGGCAAAGGCGTGTGGAGACAACCACCAATGGATGTTTGTGTGTGCAGATGGTAGATACCCGCTCAGGACGAGAGGCATGTGCTCCATATAGCCAAAGCGTAGCTACACTGCTAAATGTTGTAACCCAAATAGCTAAGCAATTGCACCTTCCAAATGCGGGCGGAATGAGCTCCATTTTGCTCGTTCTAAAACTCCCGCTTGCACCTCCTCCATCCTATACTACCTAACATCGCTTGTGCTATACAAAGATCATAGGGCGGCACCAATATCTCGGAAATACGCCATGTACGGAGGTCCGTCTGGGAGCTAGGAGACGAGAGTGCGAGGCTCACCCGCGTAAGCTCTTAGGGACAACTCGATTCTGCCAGCAATAGAGTATGTAGATCGGAATGGAAACGCAAGGAATATGAGCAAGAGTAACAGCTGGCAGGATAAAAAGCTCATAAGCAGTGCTTGATTGATTGATGATGATGATGATTCCGCTCGAGCTCCACCTTCTTCTCTCTCCCTCCTATCCAGCTTACAACTGGTGAAGGATGGCTCTTTCACGGTGGGTGCAGGCAGATACGTAATGCGCATTGGCTCGTTGCATCTTTTCGGGATAGAAGTGCAGAGCCGGCCGAGCAGTATCAGTCAGAGGCGGTAGAGGAAATTCGTGACCTCGCCACGCTTGCATTGGCGACGGAGTCATGAACGGCAACAAACGCTAAGCTTTAGAGGAGGAATTTGATGTGAATACCTGTCATCAGCCACTGAAAGCAAAGTTGATGCTATTTCCGGCATCGAACTTTCGCGCTCGAGCCGCATTCATGCAGATAGTCGCGCCAACCATGAGTGCTGAGTCGAATCCTGGTGCAACTGTACATAAGAGAAGGATTGGAGGTCAGAACTTTGTCCCCTTTGTCGTCGCCATCGGCAACTACGTACCCATCAAATAGTACGTTTGCCGATCGAAAACTATCTCGCCCACTTTCAAAGGAAGCCGAGATACATGGGCGATTGGTGTACCATCCGATAGGGTGACCGAAGCGTTACGATTGAGCCAGTCGCCTCGAATGTGGATTTGGATCCACTCTCCCTTCCCAAGGTTATTCTTAAACCTCACATACAGCTGTTTCTGACCGAAGGGGCCTCCAGCAGCGGTGACACTGAATAGACGCTGATCTTTAGCATCGAAGCCATCGTATGACACCTGGATGCTGTAGGCTGTTTTCTTGAGAATAAATAGCGGTTGCCTGCCTGCGTCTTGAACGATCTTTCGAGATTGCGCTGAAAACTTTTTGCTGTCGACGTGAAAGACCTGTTCCCCCGTTATGGCGTTCTGCGAAAAGGCAACATAGGTTTCAGTGCTCCATATGATTGCTTTCTTGCCTGTTTACTTGCTTGCTTGCTTTCTCGCTGCAAGCGACGGAGACAAATGTACCTCCACGGAGAATTTCTTAGATGACCATGAACTTTTCTGTTCTCTCAACCTAAGAATGAGCTGATCGTCGTGTTGCGCAAAAGTCTGAATGACGCCAATTCTCTCGCCCAGATCTGTAAGGTAAGGCGGTGGAGCCTCGGGTTGGCTGCTTCGTGCGCCCATCCTGTAGGGCCGATGAAAACTTTTGCTACGGAGCACTTGACATGCACTTTGCAGCTGCGACTGGCGGATTAGCTGGACTCGGTGGGTTGAGGCGGGTTGGGCCAAAGCCAGTGCAGACGCATGCGTGAGTAGCGCTTTGGGGTATTTTGCAGTCAAGTCTTGAAGAGTTGATTGCTGCAGCGCTTGCATGCCTCTTATATCCAGGATCCTCTAAAGTCTGAAGTTGTGTCCGAACTCAGATGCAAAGAACAGCTACCTAGCGGGTTTTTCTTGAGGAGAGTCACCTGGGGGCGAGTACTATACTGGGTACTGGGCACGCACGACAGGGCCATGCAGTATTCTTTTCGTTGCAATTGCGCCTCATTACTGGTTTTGTTCCGTTATCTGTTCCATTGTAGCGGCACGGTTGCCTACTGCGACAAGGATATACCGGAGTATGCGATGTATACAGAAACAGCACTCATCTATGTGCGCGTGAACATAGATCGACACCCACACCGGCACAGTTTGATGGCTTGGATGTTCACTCTGACATGTGGACCATGCAATGAACACCAACAGGTACCTACTGGTCTTTGTTCCAGGCATTGTTAATCATCTTAATTTGTATTTATAGGATTGTACAATGTGAGCTATTGTACTAGCGTGTTTTCTTTGTTATTAAAAGTTGACATTTGACATTTGTAAAGTGATCTTATTCATAGGACGAAAGCGAGCTAGGGGGAAAAAAAGAATGAAGTCCGCAGTGACAAATCTCGACGAAGCCAACTCCGCCATTGCTACAACGTTTTACAACAAGACACAGTCCGAACGGTGCAATTGAGGTCTAAGGGAGTTTTTAGTGGTATTTAAGATCAAGATCTGGTATATGAAATCTGAGATTTGATAGATCCAAGGTAACGCAAGTAGCGATCTACCAATACACCTCAGATCGTCACCGCCATGTGCCGACCGATCTTGAAGTCGGCGGTTGGCACCAAAGATAACTCAGGCATCGAATCAGGTCAAAGTGAACATGCTTCCCACACATTGATACCGGGTTAAAGCAAGTGATACGATATTGGTGTCCTACAATGGCCAAAGGCGATCCAATTGTTCGCAGCAGCTTGGGAGCTATTGAGACGATCAGACGATAACTAGAAACTCTCTCAAGCAATCACCCGTAAGTCTTCTGCTCTTAGATGCTTTCATACCTTCACCCCATCAAGAGCAGCGCGAAGTACTTCAAACCCGCCACCCCCACCAAAATTTCCGACTTCATCAGCTATGTATGACGCTGTAAGACTCCAGTGGCGCACTCTTCATTATTGCTTGCCTGTTCGACTGACACCAGCATCCACTATTTACATATTCAGGACAAGATGCGTGTAATCCTTTTCTTTGCGCTCACAGCGATTGCGTCAGCATCAGTCGTAACGCTCCATGGTGACAAAAAATTGCAACAACGATGTGGGAACAACGAACATCTATGACAATACCTGTGCCACAGGACTGTCAGGACTTCAATCGTTCCTATTACCACTCCAGGCAACAATCGGTTGTCTCTGACGGCGCTCAGAAAAGATGCATGTGCAGGTTCCTACACCGCCTGCGCCCGTTCTGTTACGTATGGCAACTGTATCAAGCCCGTGAATGATCAAAGTGGAAGCAACGCGATGAGCTCGACTCCTACATTCGGCACCGCAAAAATCCAACTTGATAATAAAGAGAGGAGTGGCAATCCCAATGGCCCACCCGTCGAGGGCTCTACCTACTAACAGGAGAATGTCGACCCTTGCACCAGGACATTCTAATCTTACAACTCCCCCAACTATCCATCCGATGCTAGTCGCACAGTGAACGTTGCCAACACCAACGTTCAATTTCACTAGTGGACTTACTGCGATCGATTCTACGGTTACTCGACCATCCAGTCGGTGCAGTCGACCGGTGGACAATCTTGTGGTCAGATCAACGCTGATGGCTCTTGTCCAGAGCTGACTCTAGGCTTGCTGGGTCTGAATGGAGCGAAAATTGGTTCTTATGAGGACCAAAAAGACACTGAGGGACCCTGTCTCAACTCTGGCAACATCAAGGGCTAGGCATTAATGCACCAGACGGTATCAGCTCCTTCAAAGTTACGTTTCTCGTCCTCTCCTCGTTCTTCTCTTGTTGCGGCCACCGCCGGATTTTCATCATTTCAGGGGAATTTCAACCCTAACCCTACCCGGAATGAGCGTTGCCAGATCAGAGATCAGCTTCGCGCTGGGCAGCTTAAACGGCCTGTCAAACACATGGCCTACCAAAACCAGTGGTTTGATTGATGTTCGAAGATTCCGGCATGGCCCCTTTAAAATGCCCGTGACTGGCTCAAGCTCTAACGGAGTGACATTGACTAGGCTGGAGTTAATTAGCGACTAAGAGAGTAGGTAGCACACAAGGTCATAAGGGGGATAGTGGCATGAGGAAGAGCGTCGACGGCTAGCATGGAAACGCTTTGGCCGCATGTACTTCGTCTTGCGTATCAATGTTCGCCCTCCATACATACAGATGACCAGTGCATTCCATCCTCCATCATCTCCTGGATGTTTGGAAACATGATGTGGGATCTTACAGAGAGTACAAATCTGTTCTAACTGAATGTAACTAACTCTCTTAAAGATACAAGTACGTTATCCTGCGGCGCCCCGCGGGCTCACAGGGAGAGCGCCAGCCCCACATGTATAGCGGGCGGTTACATACCCGAACAGAAGTTCAAAGGCGCTCCCTCGCTCGCTCTCGCGGAGCTGAGGATGTATATGGGGCGCATGATGGATCATCGCCATTCAACTTAATAACACATTTCTCTCGGAATCGATCACTGCTCAGCGCAAGCCACATTCTTGGTTAGCCAGTTGCGTGACATCATGCTGCTGTGGATTCTGATATATTACGTAACGCGCATCGACCAGAGCCACCATTATTGCACACGACACAGTGCTCCCATGCCCCAAGCCCTGGCTGCATACCTGGCAGCTTACCGTCTGCTTGAGCAAGCTGCCAACCAATCAGATGGACGTGGCGGAGATGCCCTCGCACCAGGACAATGTCACTCGGCCTTTAGAAGGCAGAAAAGAGCGTGCCAAGTCGAGCCTCTTTTTCGTTATTTGGTGTAGCACGATGAGTTCCGAAAAGCAAGTGGTCCTGCTGACGGGCGCATCGCGCGGGCTCGGACTCGCAATTGCCAAAATCCTTCTCCGCGGTTCCCAGTCGGTGCCTCCGGCTCGAGTCGTCACACTCGCTCGATCCCACCCTGCCGAGCTTCAGTCGCTGGAAAAGGAGTTCCCACATGACTTAGTCTGCGTGCAAGGAGACGTGACCGAGCAGGGAGACAACCAAAAGGCTGTGGACACAGCAAAAGCACAATGGGGACGCTTGGACAGTGTAATTTTGAACAGCGGTATCTTACTCTTTGGCCGGTTGGGAGAGCAGGCGAGTGTGCTAAGTCGAGTCTCTTTCGAACAACCTTCGCTTGCTGACCATGCGGGCATTTTCACTACAGAGTGCCGCTGATTTCTTCCAAGTGCAGAATGTCAACCTGCTATCCTTGCATCTGACATTAATGGTCGCCCTACCTCATTTGCGCAAAGCACCCTCTGGCTGCGGCAAGGTCGTCTTCGTCTCATCCGGCGCCGCTGTGGCTAACAGCGCCGCCTGGGGTGCGTACAACGTCTCCAAGGCTGGGGCAAATGCACTCGCGCGCACGCTCGCGCAAGAGGAAAAGGGAGATGCGAGCCAGGGACGAGCGCCGGTCGCCGTGTGGGCAGTTCGACCAGGCGCCGTGGACACGGAGGTATGTCTTTCTGGACAATTACTGAAACCAGATTGCTGAAATGCGAGTATGCTGTCAGATGCAAGCCAACCTGCGCGCCAATAGCGCCCAGCATGTCGACTCAGACGTGCATCAGCGCTTCATAAAGTTGCACGAGGAAGGCCAGCTGCTCAAACCCGAGCAGCCGGGCCATGTTCTCGCCGCACTTGCCCTGCTCGGTACCCGAGAAAGTCCCGCCGACGGGAAACAAGCAGGTCTCGGTGCTCAGGGCGCCTTTGTCAACTGGAATGCCGAAGAACTGCTCCATGGAGCCTGGCAGCTGCCGGCTTGAGTATATATATGCACTGGCAAAAGAATACAATATATCCGAGTAAGCAGGCACGCAGAGAGCATCAGGGACTCCAACCTGATTGCTTCGCGCCCGTGTCGGCTTGTGCACGTGTTGGAGATTCTAATCGCCGTGGTGGGCTTCGACTGCGCGACTTGGTACATGCACTATCTCTCATCCTGTAGGCACCTACATTTCGGGGCAGACGTGACGTTTCTCGCCTGCTTTCATGCATCCTCGAATGTAGACGTTCACGCTCTTGGACGCCTAGGTTCGGATCTCCACCGCGGCCCCAAGGGTGCTGATCAGGCCCAAGGCTTCTTTTCAGCTCCCGAGCTCCCGAGCTCATCCGCGCGTCTGCCATCCGCATGGGACCCATTGCTGAACTCTGCGCGAATCGCCCGCGTACTACAAGCCCAACGCTCGAAGGACCGGGGTAGGCATCCTGGGGCGGCGCTGGCCCCCGAAAAGCGACTGATGAGATTGCTGGAGCATGGATGACACAGTCAAGGACTGCACCTTCTCTGAGGCGCAAGTCTCCAACGGTCTTAAGTGCGTTGCGCTTCCCTGCTTCGTCGTCCGCTGCTTCGTTGACTTCTTGATACTGATCTGCCTCGCGCATCTTTCCCTTGTCTCTGCGCTGCAAGTATTTGGGCAGCATCTCTCTTGCATTTTCTTCACCAAGCAGCGTTGTCAAGGTTGAGCGCGAAACGCGAGTGATGTCGTGGAAGTAGTCTCGCGCTCTAGCCTCGTTGGCCTTGTAGTCCCAATATACGACTCGAAAGGAATGCCGAGAGAAGGGTTGGGATAGCGGGCTGGCAGCGTGTAATTGAGCGCAGATGGTTCTGAGAGACGTCGTCGACCTTCCTCCGCAGAAACCATTATGAGTTATATAGATATCCAAATATTCTCAAAGAGACATGCCCTGAAGACATACCAGACATAGAGCTTGAACTCATCCTCCAAAGGCCGACCACCGGGCTGCATCGACGACAGATCCCGCCATGGAGCCCCCAGCTTGACATACACGCGGATCAAGAACGGCGTGGCCTAGAGTAAGAAGCACAAGATATGTAGAGAACTCAGCTCTGTACATGTTTTCCCAATGCTCTTGAACTCACATCGTCGCCGGCTGCAACAGCGATGGAAGCCATCGCCCCTACCCTCCGAATGCTGAGTCAGATACGGCGGGTCCAGCTCCAGCGCTTTGCCTATCGACGTGGTCGCTGACTAGCACACTCGCTGTGGGTGCAGCCTTGATGCTTGCGAGGAAGGAATCCCAAGCAGCCCACATACACTCCAGAAAGCGAGGGTCCTTCTTATCAGCATCAGCTGCACAGGCAGTAGGCAGTCTGCAAGAGGCCGCAGCGTCATGCCTTCATGACGACGAGGAGATGTGTTCTCCCCCGGCGGAACGGCGGCTTTCGGAATTTTTTGGCGATCGTAAGCGGTTCATCACGAGCACCGTCGTCCTTCGCTTCTTCCAAGCCAGCTGATGCGTCGGTCATGCCAAGCTCTGCTCCCTTAGACGCAGCAGAGTGGTGCTGGTCTGCTGCCAGGCACAGACAAACTTCCAGCTGAGTTCCATTTGTGCGGACGAGAGAGGATGCAAAAGGCTTTCATGAGCGGAGCGACGGCAACGCTGCTGAGAGCGACACGCTGTGCCGCAACGCCGGTGCGGGCAGCAAGATCACACAACTGTTGCCTGCCAACCAGCACGGCATCTGCAAATATCGCAGCATCAACCACACTGTTCTGCACACGCAGGTTGCATACCTCAAGGCCCAAGCTGGTCCCAGATAAAGTTGGCGGCAGGCAGTCTACCGACCAAGGCACAGACGGCGGCCACACATCCCCAACGCAGCAACCTGAAGCAGAGGCGTCGGGGCCGAAGCCGACTCTTGGGCGATCCACATCGCTCTTCGACATTGACACGAGCACATCCTCCTTGATCGAGGCTCCAGATGCCACGAGTGGAAAGGATGGAACCGCGAACGATGCTGCGCGCACAGGGGCCAAGGGGAAGCGCTCCATGAGCTCTATAGACAAGAACCGGCGAACACGGACACGGGTTCTTCTTGGCATCGCTGGCTTATGCCTTGCGGCTACTGTGGTGCAGGCTGGTAGAGAAATGGATGAAAGAGAGGCGAAGCGGTTTGAAGATGTGAGTCGTAGGCACGCTCGCTTGACTCATATACACAATCTTACTTCTTGCCGCTTGCTTGCAGAACCCACTGAAAGACAGCTGGTTTGGACGGCTGTGGCTGAGGACAACGTCGATGAAGGAAGATCTCAATGCCCCAGCGTGGGAAAAGCTACTGCCAGATCCGCTTCCCTTCCCCTACAGCCGCCCTTACACCTTGGTCGTCGATCTAGACGGGCTCATGACACACTCGGCCTGGTCTCGAGAACATGGCTGGCGGACAGCCAAACGCCCCGGTCTCGACTACTTCCTCGGCTACCTATCGCAGTGGTACGAGATTGTTCTGTACACTTCGCAGCCTTTCTATACGGCTGGGCCAGTCATCGAAAAGCTCGACCCGGATCGCCGCTTCTTGACGTACCTATTGTTCAGAGAGAGCTGTAGGAGCGTCGATGGCAAGATTGTCAAGGACTTGGACGCATTGAACAGAGATCTCAACAAGGTTATCATCCTCGATACGAAGAATGAGGGGTTTGCTCTCCATCCGCAGAATGCCGTACTGGTCAAGAAGTGGGAAGGAAACAAAGACGACCGAGAGCTTATCCACCTCATCCCTTTCCTCGAGGCTATCGGCATATACGAAATCCCGAACGTCCGCAAGACAATCGAGGCGTACAAGGACACACATATCCCGACAGAGCACGCGAAACGTACACTCGAAATGCGTGCTGTCGAGTATGAGCAGTGGAAGCAAAAGAAGGAAAAGCTTGGCAGCGGCGGGGGGCTGTCCCTTTTCGGAGGAGGCGCATCAAGGCAGAGCGTAGACGACGAATTCAAGACTTGGTACGACCGAGAGCGCGAGCGCTTCCAGCAAGCTCATCTCGAAGAGGAAAAGTACTGGAAGGAAAATGGAGAGGAGATCCGAAGGCAGGCCAAGGAGGACCAAGAGCGGCAGCTCAAGGAGATGAAGACGAATGCATGGAGGTGAGCGGTTCGAACAATGCTCGGCATGACAACCAATTCAGTGCTAACAAAGAGCGACTGCTTCCTCTTGACAGCTTCCTCATGGGCGGTGCGAAACCGGGGCAGGATGAAAATGCAGCACAGGGAGCGGCCCCTGCCAGCTGAGGCCACTACTATCACACAAGCATTTCACCACTCTTTGATGCCTTCGAGAGCGACCTCCAGTGCACTGCTGTATCAATAGGCTCCCTGCAATGCAGTCTCTATGTCTTTGATCACCTTGAAGATTAGGCTTCCGATGAAAGGGTAAATTTGGCTGCCACCTCATCGAAAGCAGCCTCCCGCTCGTTGTATGCAATTAGCACCGGATGTTTTGTGTTCCGAGCTTGCAGTTTTCTGGCAAAGACAGCAGGTGGAGCCGGGTCAGCTATTACACGCGATCAGAATGTTCGCCACCCAACGCACTGCATGGCCTCGGCCAATGATTCCGGTGTCCGACTCAGATGCGGGGCAAGCGCAACGCGATTGGCGAGAACTGATTCGTTGCTAGGATCCTGTGAGGCGGAGGGAAGGCTCGTCATTCATGCCCCTTGCTTCCATCTCAAAAAGCTTAACCTCGGCGTCGATCCTCACAAGCTTCTCTGCATGTTCCAACGTGGCTGCTGCTGCTTTCCATTGTCCAAGCACCATCTGTGCCGCTGCTTTGCCTGTGAGAACGTTGACAGTGCTGGGCTTGCCAGCTTGCGCGGGGTTCTGCGCGAGCTCGTCGTAGACGTAGTACGCTTGCTGTGAGGAACGGCCACCTTGCACAAGGCCGATCCAGGCTTCGATGAGCTGGTAAACAAGAAGATGGCGGGAGAAAGGGTAAGAGATGGACTATAGAGCCCAACGGAGAGAAGGAGGCTCACTTGGATCAGCAACGAGTCATCAGCCCAGGACCGGGCAGCAGTAAATTCCTTCTGCGCGAGGTCAACTCGGTTGATGCTGAGCAGAATGTGAATGCCGAGCGCGACGCATTCGAGCTCCTTGTTTTTCCCTTCCTTTTCACTGGCAACATCGAGCGTCTCGAGAGCACCAAGAGGGTCGCCATCCCGTGCCATTGCTGTCCCGGCGCACACCCTGACGACCTCTCCCTTGGGATCGCCGACTACAGCCTCATCGAGAAGCTCAATAAGGCTGGCTAGCGCTTCATCTGATGACTTCGCATTTCCCTGCTGCTGGCTTGCTACGAATTTTGCAAGCTGACGTACCGCGCCGACCGCGATGTTGCCCTCGGCCAGGCTTGCAGGGAGCAGCGCCAGCGCCTTACCTGGGTCTGACAGCGCGATGTGAGAACGGGCTGCGTAGAGAAGATTCTGTTGAGTGGCTTGGTTCGAAGGGTCTACCGACTGCAAAGAGGCGAGTTCGATGCAGCCCTTGTAAGCACCCTGATAGAAGAGGGACTGGACCTCAAAGCTGCTCATGATCACTGCTTTGAAGCTAGAGTATGAGCGGGTGATCTGCGATGCGATGCATGCAATAAAGGAGGCCCTCCTTTACTCGGACTCTCGACTCGGTCTGACACTCCTGGCGTATTCCAGGAGCAACGAGGCAGTATCGATAGCAGTCTATCTTGTGTGACAAGAATGAGGGTCATAGAAGATGGTTAAAAGGAGTGAAGTCGTTAAATTACAAGTTGAATCTGTGATGATGCAACTATCGGTTGCGTGTCGCTCTGCAACGCGACACCCAGTGTCATCAACACTCATCTCCCGTTGTCTCTCGCTGCCCATCACCTCGTTGCCGTTGACGACATCCATATCAATGCGGCACAAGTCACATACACGCCTTGACATCCGATCATCTCCACTTCAGCAGCATACGGGCCTTCGATCACACAGGCTGGAATCAGTCGATACGAAAGAGCGTGTAACAGACTGTATCTTTCCTTGGGACTGCACAGCAACAATGCCGGTGAGGAAACCTGCAGCTTTGACTGTCGAGCTCGCACTGACCAGCCCTGACCCATGCGGTTATCTCGCCAATCTTCGCATCGAGCTGATTCCCTTTCCATTTTCAGGCATATCATTCCATGTACAACCAAGATCCAGACGCGAGGGTCTACGGATCCATAGCGCTTTTGCCGATCAGGACACGTATCCGCGGCCCGGCGCCGACTCCAGGTGCGTCTGAATCACACTACAGTGGGTGGAGCCACTCGTGCCATGCTCACAAATGCTGTTCATCATGGTTTCATTCGGCATGCTGCGGGCACGTTTGCTATGGGTTTCTCTTTGTGCGTATCGATGCCCCTTTTAAGCTGATCCGTCGGCTATGGACATCATCGATGAGTCGATCGACCTGTTCAGGGCCAACTCACTCTTCCGCAATTTTGAGATCAAGGGGCCAGCCGACCGGGTATGTGCCGAGCTGGTACTAGCTACACCTTGTTTCCCTTCTGAGCTGACTACGGACTAATAACTGGATGCATGAAGGCGCTCATCTACCTGATTCTCTTCATCTCGGACTGCCTCACCAAAATTGCGACCGCAAGAGTGCCTATGTCCCAAAACGAAGCCGTCAAACAGCTTTCGACGTACGCGGTCGACAACTTTGCGCTGCCGGGAGACGCGAATTTCCCTCTCAATCAGCTCTACTCTGCTCCAAGGGATCGCGCAGAGGCCGGTGAGCGCTATCCGCTCAATTTAATTGCTCGGCATGAAGGGCTTCTGATTTGGCCATCGATCATTGCATTTTACAGACGCCCTCCGATCATATCTAACTCAAGCAAGGCAGGAAACAGCAGCAAGACTTATCGAGAAGATCTACATCAATGGCAAGCCAAGCAAGTTCTGGCTAGCATTCACTAAGCGAAAGTTGTATGTGTCATGTCTGCCTTCATGCGCATGTACCGGAGAACCAAAACTGAAATCAATGCGTGTTCTGTACAGCATGGGCAAGAGCTTGAGCTAGGCGCAAGGTTGCGTTGTCCTGCATTGTAGAGCGCATGGCACCGACCAAATGTGTTCCCACGTTAATGAGCCATGCGATGACTAGTAATACAGTGCGTAAGGCGTAACCCCCTTGCCAAAATGCATACGCTACGGGGGCACCTCATGTGCGAGCAACCAAAGCTTGTCGATGCCTTCTTGCCAGCTGGAATGTGAGGAACCCAGCAATGACAGCGCTGATGGCTCCTAAACGGAACACGATCCCAATTGCGGCTGCGTCGTGCTCGGTGTCTCCAGGTGCGGCGGCTGCCCGCTCCACCAGCGAAGCGACTCCTGTGCCTCCTGTCGCTGCTGGCAAAGCACATGCGATGCATTTTCGTGCTGTCGAGTCCTTAATGGCAAACACTGTATATACCGAGGGAACAACCATCAAACTTAAGTGGCATGTGGTCGCATGTGCAAAGAATACTCACAGGCGCTGGAGAGGGCTGTCGAGATGAATTGAGGCACAACGATGGCGATGTTGAGCAGCCCCAGGATTGTTCCCGCTCGCTCGTGCAAATCTCTCTTTCCCAGTGATTGTTGATAGGCCTCTGTTGCACTCGATTCTCCATTCTCTGCACCATCTGCAGCTTGTGCCTCAGTCTCCCGGTCCTCGTCCGATAGGAAAGCCTCCCGCTCGGCATCAAAGTGTTGCCCACTCGTATTTCCACTTTGAGTCGATGGAAGCGCACTGATCAAGGCGCCTTCGCGATCATTTGAGACAAGGATTCCTACTAGGCTATATGGAATCCAGCTGACGATCGCCCAGGAGAAGCCCGTCGTGATGAGCAACATGGAGGCGAGGCCGGCGCTCATAGAAAGTTCTGCGAAGAGCGTGCTGAACATGGTGAGAGCGAAGAAGAAGGTGGAAAAGCACCACAGTTCCGCCTCCTGCACCTTGTGTTTGAAGATGTTCCTGACCGGGCCACGCTCGAGGTGCAATGCTATGCTTGGCGAATTCTGTTGCACCCCACCTGCCACGAGGTTTGGAGCAATGATGGAGACGAGAAGAGCCAGAATCGCGCGATAGAAGAGCGCACCGGCTCCATATCGAGTCGCGCTCACCGGGTCAGCACCGCCAGGTTGTGCTGATGACCAAATAGAGCCAATCCAAAGGGTCGAGTAGAACATGATTGGGAACCAGCCGAGCCATGAAAAGACTGCATAGGTGAAGAGTCAGCTTCGTAGCCAGACCAGATGATCTCGAAGGGTACGGACATTGTACGGCAAAAATCCACTTGAAAGGTGGGGGTAAAGTCCTTGCCGCCACCACAAAGTCTCTGAAGACCTTCTTGAGGTGTTGTAGCACGGCCGCTACGGTTAGATGTTGTTCCACGCTGCGCACTAGTCTTCGCTCTTGCGCCGTCCAAGCAGTCACAGCATGTGTGCTAAGCAGAAAGAAACTTGTCATGAAGCAGAGACACTTCAGCTGGCCTTCGTTCGATCCTGTTTCAGTGAGTGCTTGCAAACTTGGAAACCAAGAAAACGGTGCATATGTTGGAAGATTCAAGTGAGAGATGAGGAACCCAAGGACGTCTCCCAGCCCCGCAAGCCGCGCAGCCCATGCACTAACTTGCCCTTGCGACGATGGAGGAACCATGTCGATGTACAGCGATCGGTCCATCGACATTATTGCATTGACACTGAAATCGACCCCGAATACTGCAAATACCGCGCAGAGTTGAGAAATCCAGTGAACCTGACGGTGCAGTTGAATGAGACCGTGAGCTAAAAACGACTGGGAGCGCTTCCTGAAGAAAGGGTTGCTCACCTTGGCATCATTCGTCGAAGCAAAAGCGCGCCCGATGTCATTCGCAAACGCAAGTAAAAACATAGCAGCTGTGCTCAAAAGGCAAGCTACGAGCAAGAATGGGCGGCGTCGTCCCCATCTGTGCGTTGACCCATCTGCGAGCACACCGATGACAGGCTGAACGATCAGTCCGCTGAGAGGCCCCGCGACGAGCACGGCAGCTACTTGGCTTTTCGAGAGGCCCAGCTCGATCAAGTAAGGGCTAGCAAAAGCCATTTCCATGCTCCATACCAGCTGCCAGCCAAAGGCACCGACGGTGAGCAGCGGCAGCTGCAGCTGGGGGGGACCCCGAAGGACGGCTGGCTGATCGGCAACGTCGACGCCAGGCGGCGGGAGGTCCGACTGCGCAGCTCCTCCACACAACATGACGACGGCTGCTCCTGAGCGTGACGAGCAGCGCTGGGATGGAACCTGCAGACGCCACAAGCGCTCTTCCCGCTGCGTCTATGGACGGTGGCCTCAGCTGGAACCGAGAAGTGGCCTGCATTGGAGGCCCCGCAACATGATTCGATCGGCCAAATTCGAAGCCGCTGATAAGGTAAGTAGGGTTCATCCCATGCCATGGTTGTGAAGGACCGAAACGAGCACGTGACCATGCCCATGCGCTCAGCTACGTATGGGGAATGGGCCCCACCATCAGTATATTCTACCATCATCTCCTTCTCCCCTCACCTCACATATGCTCGATTCTGTTATACACACCTGGATATTTCTCAGCCTTCTATGGATCTAGCCATTATCCCTGCCTGCCTTCATAGAGGGCAATCGCACCCCTGGGGATTGGCCTACTGTGAGCACCGGCAGTTGCAACCCCTATCAAACTCTGGATTCTGGAAGCACTCTCTGGAGCAACGGCTTACGAAACTAACTTTGGAGTTTGGACAGGCATTCCAAGCTGAGCGCACTTCATTGTCAGAAAGCATGTATATTCTGGCGAACAGCTCCTCTTACGTCGTCATAGCTGATCCCCCTTCATTTCGAGCCAACTCGGCTGAATGAGCTTCCGTAACGGATACGCCGGCTTTCGTGCTACCAAGATGACCGCCGGAGAGACGCGTCCTGAGCGACTCGTACCGCTTCCTTTGAGCCATGCTAACACTGGGCCGCACCTTGTCAAGAGCCGCAAGGAAGTGCGGCTGAGTAATAAAGATTTGTGGTGAGCTTTGGCCCGGTGCGGCTGGCTGTACGGTGTTCATAGGCACTGCCTCGGCTGTGAGTGAGAAGCGGATGGTCTCGCGCAGCGCTGCAACAGCAGCTTCGCGCACCAACGCTGCAAGATCGGCACCGGAAAAGCCGTCGGTGCGAGGATCGAATGCAATCGCGTGCAGATTTACGACCGCATCGCTGGTACTTTGCGCTGGCATCTCAGTGAGCAGCGGCGACGCCTTGGTGAGAGCGCGCAGGATTTCCAGACGCTCGGAGCTGTTCGGCAAGTCAACGTAGAGTAGTTTATCCAGGCGGCCGGGGCGGCACATCGCTGGATCGACAATATCAGGGCGATTCGTGGCTGCGATCACATATGTCTGTCCTCGTCCTTCCAGTCCGTCGAGTTCAGTGAGGAGGGTGTTGACGACACGCGACGACGCTTCTGAAAGCGCATCGTCTCGCTTCGGAACGAGCGCATCCAGTTCGTCAAAGAAGATCACGCAGGGAGAAGAAGCCCGTGCGCGTGCAAAGACCTGCCGAACAGCGCGCTCGCTCTCGCCCACGTACTTGTTCAACAGCTCTGGGCCCTTCACGCTGATGAAGTTGGCCCGGCTCTCATTCGCAACGGCTTTGGCGAGTAGCGTCTTTCCGCAGCCTGGCGGGCCCCAGAGCATGACACCCGAGCTGGCGCTAACGCCAACGGCGCGGAACAGCTCTGGTCTCCGGATCGGTTGGACGATCGCCATGCTGAGCTCCTCGCGTGTCTCGTGCAGGGCGCCAACGTCAGCCCAGGTCACGTCTGGAACGGTCGCGAACCCTTCTCGTTTGGACGATGGCTGAATCATCGGTAGTGCTGCTGTAAAGTCTTCGTTCGTGATACTAAGAATGGACAGTTGGTCTTCGGAGAGTTTTCGGGGGAAGCGACGCAGGAATGATGCAATGGTAGAGTGTTGCAGTGCATCAGGGAGGGATTGTAGAAGGGACGAGGGTGTCCTTGGATTGGAAGCCGAGTCTACTTCGATGCTGTTTGAGACAGGTGGTGGAAGTGGCAGAGATGTTTCAACAGGCGCTGCTAGTGATGCCGCCGTGAGCCCTTCCTCCTGGTCGGCGGATTCCATGTTTACGTCCTCTCCTTCGTTTTTGGCCGCTCCTGACCCTTCGCTGGATGTAGCTGGGGCCATGGACCCTGAAGCGATGGCTTCTTCGCCCGCAGAGTTGGTATCTTGTGGTGAAGTGGCTAGCGAGTCCATGTGCGCCAGTGTCTGAAAAATGCGTTTGACAGCAACGATGCCAGCAGTGCTCGTGAGCGCTGTCAGATCTGCCCCTACAAAGCCGGGCGTAGCTTTTGCCAATTCACGGAATTCAAAGTCGCCTGAAAGGCGTAGGTGAGAGGCGAGTACCCGCAAGATCCTGTTCAAGTGCGTGGACCGGTAAAGGATGCATTTGTCAATATTTTGTTCAGAGAATACTTTCACCAGAGAGGATTGATTGAAAAGGATCAGAGACTTGAATGGGTGCCCGAAGGCGTGAAGCACTCAGCGCCCTCGAGAGGGCTCGTGCGATGGTTTGCAGACCGAAAATTTTTGCATCATGAAAAGCATTGGCGGCTACACAGCCCCATGGGAAAGGAATGAATACTCACTGTTCTCTGCCATCTTCGTCCGGAACCCCAAGAGTGATCTCATGGTCAAAACGGCCTGCTCGTCGCAAGGCAGGATCAAGAGAATCTGGGCGATTTGTGGCACCGATGACCATCACGGCCTTGCCTTCGGTCTTTTCCCACGACATGTCTTGGCGAACAAATGAAGAGAACGTGTCAGCTGTAGGCATAACCTTCCGAGAGTGCCACACTCACCATCCAAGCAGGTGAGCAGTTGAGCAACAATTCTGCGCTCCATTTCTCTCTGCGCGTTCTCCCTCTTTGGCGTGATCGCATCGATCTCGTCCAGGAAAACGATACACGGAGCAACACGGGCAGCCTCTTCAAAGAGATCTCTGAGTCCCTTCTCACTCTCTCCACTGGTACCACTGACAATGCTTGGCGCACTAACATTCAGGAAGGGTACACCCATCTCGCCTGCGATGGCTTGCGCCAGACGCGTCTTGCCACAGCCGGGCGGGCCGTGTAAAAGCACGCCACGCGGTGGCACAATGCCAGTGTGGGCATAAATCTCGGGATGTAGGAGCGGCAGGGCAATCAGCTCAAGACACTGCTCGATGGCAGCAGTGATACCACCTAGCGAGGAGAATCGGATCGACGGGGGGGCGTACTTGTCGGCGATGGCCTGGTTGGAAGCTCGTTCTTTCCCCTTGCGGCTCCCACCTGCATGTATTGATGATGATGGTGCAGGCACTGCTCTTCGTAACCGCTTTGAAGTGCTATTCTCCGGCAGAGCTGAAGTCGTAGCTTGAGGCAAAGTTGAGGAGGAGGGAATCCCGACGCCGGTGGGACGATCTTCGTCACCATCAGTCCCCGGCGCTGACGAAGGATGAGAGGGGCGCGCCTTTCGCTTGTGAATGCTGGTCCCCGAAATCGATGGTGAGCCTAGCTGTGCGCCTTCGGTGGTTGGTGTGCCATACCCAGAGCTGTTGCCAGCATCAGATGCGCCAGGGTCGCCATCTTGGCCACCATTTCCGGCTTGCTTCCGCGCGAGAGCTGCGGCCGCTGCCGACCCAGCTGGTGGGACGGGACTGAACCCGGCTGGAATAGGCTTATTGAGGGAGATCTGAGCTCTTCGCTTGCCTGAGCTCGAAGATGGGCCCGACTGTGCCCCTGGTGTGGAGGCAATCGAGGGCTGCCAGGCTGCTGTGATGGAGCGGTTCATGATGGTAACTTCCTCCAAGCCTGATTTCGTCCCAACTCGTCGGCTCTCGTCTAAATCAATTGAAACCGGTTTCTCCGACGGAGAATTTAGATTGACGCATACACAGCTCCGGCAGCCGGCTTCCTTTGCCCAGAGGAATACCCATGTGGTGGATAACAAGTGTGCTGAAGACGATGAAATCGCATGTTGAAGCAAGCTCGAAAAGTCGAAAAAGATGTCTTACGAGATGAAGAAAAGTTGATTGCACCGAATATCGGACCGCATTACGTATTCAATTTTTCTCGTGTGCTTTTCCTTCATCATTCAGGTGTTGAGCAGTAGCAGCTAGTGTGCACAAGTCGCTAGCAAGCGATACTATCCTCATCATGATCGTCGGTGCCTGCTGTTTCACAAGGACAGGGACTAACGGCTTCGATTACGTGCCCATCATCGGTCCAGTTACATCCAATACATGACGCTTTCTCTGCTTGCAGCGCAAGTTCTGGCGGCAGCACGGGCTTCAAGGCCACGCTCGTCTGCACTGCGGGTGGCAACAACACCTTGCACCAACTTGCAATGCCCGGCTTCGAGGGTGAGAAACATCTCTCATTCTGCGGAGCCGGCTGATCTTCGTCCAAGTGCTATTGGATCGAGGACATTCAGCACTCCATCTCCCTTCTCGGAACTAGCCGCAAAAGTCGACAGTGACATACCGTCACAGTCTTCGACAGAGCGCGTTGCCAAGTCGAAGGTAACCAAAGGGAAGTCAACATCTAGCCCGGCATCTTTTGAGGTAAGCAGCTTCCGAATACAAGTATCGGAACAGTATTGCGTCCTTTTTGATCCCCTTGCTGATATATTGATACGTGATTTTCACAGGACCTCGGCATCAATCGTCGTTTGGCTGTTTTGTTGACATCGAGCTATCCCGAAGTCCAAGTCCCAACGCTGGCTCAAGCCACAATCATTCCAGCACTTCTTGCGAAACCTCGCAGTGATCTGATCGCCAGAGCACTCACGGGTACAGGCAAAAGCTTCGGGCTGCTTTTAGCGCTTCTTGCTCAGCCGCGCCTTCGTTTCAGCAACGAGAACCTTGAAGTTCCGGTGAAAGATCCAAATCAAGACCCAGTAAAGTCTGGTCAACCGTCTGAAGTTGCGCGCAGGGAGGGGGTCCAGCACCTGGCAATCTCATCCATCATTCTCGTGCCCACAAATGAGCTCGCCTACCAATATCTCAATTGGGGGCGCAAACTCATTCCTTCCAGCGCGCTACCCTCGCTCGATCCCATTCTACAAATTGTGGTCAACGAGCCTGGCGCACCGTCATGTGCGGATCAACTTTTAAAGATGCGGACCACACCACCACACATTCTAATTGCAACTCCTTCACGGCTGCTCGAACTGTGGGAACATGCTGATCTCACAACAGGCAACGCGCGCAAAACGCTAGGGATAAAGACAGCCAGGACCCTCGTTCTTGATGAGGCAGATGCCCTTCTCAAATTGCCGGGTCGTTTTCCTTCCAAGAAGCTTGCATGGAAGCACGAAAAGCACAAGCCATTCGTGTTGCAGCTTCTCAACCGAATCATGCGCTCTCGATACACTTGCAGCAGTGGTCAAGGTCATCCGAGCGCGGGGATGGAATTTACTTTACCCGAAGATTCTCCCAAGGAAGCGTCGCTTGCCCCAAGCAGGCACCAAAATGCAGGTGCAATGACCAAGCCGAGGGAGAAAGTTCGACGGACCGTACATCTTTCTCGCGAACAGGCAGAAGAAAAGCGGATGTACACCCGTCCCCTCAGCAGACCAAATCTGGCTGATATGTTCAAAGACTCCTCGCCTCCTCCGGACATGCTACCACTGCAGCTTGTCTGCGTCAGTGCAACAGCTAACTCCATCCTCCGTCACTTCCTGGGTGCACGCACTGGCTGGCTGCGAATCGGCTACACAGAAAAAGGCTCTGTGAGGGGCAGATGGCTTGACCTCATGGGTCTCAGCGGGGAACTCAAAAGGGGGATGCGTGACGGTGCTGTCTTGAACGGCCCCGCTCCCGCAGGGTCGGACCTGATGAGCATTTCAAGACCGAATGCGCAGCCGAAGGATGCCGATGCCTTGTTGCCGAAGGAGTTGCGCCACTTTTGCATCGTTGTCGATCAGCCTGAGCCCGAGTCTGGGCTCAGACCGCATTCACTTAAACGAAAAGAGGTCGACGGGCAAATTCCAAAGATGCGCAACCTATACAGGCTTCCACCTCAAGTGCGAGCGTCCAATGAGCCGCAGGTACCAGAGGGAAAGCGTCCCAAGCCTGCAGTGGTCGAGGCTTGGGGTTCCAACGACGACAAGGAAGAGGCCGACGACGCCATCGTCCGTGCGACAGCCTATGCATTTGCTGTCGAAGGTGCACAGCGCGCGCTAGCAGTGATACCGCCCTTTTGGAGTATCTTCAGGACACGAGACCGCCTCGCTGAACTCGGCGTGCCAGTCCGGATCGTGGACCGAGAAGCTTTGGCCGAATTATCGGAAACGACAGGCTCCGTCCTCTACTTATTGCAGTCGCTCAACACGCGTGGCCTGGATCTGCCTGACCTCAGCCACGTGTTCATTCTCGGCTGGCAGTCTGCGAAAACTACAGTAGAATACACACATCTCGCGGGTCGCGCTGCACGGATGAAACCTTTGCCAACCAGACCTGACTCATCTGCCGATCATCAAGACGTGGCCGATGCTTTTACCCGCCCCGATGGCACAGTCATCACGATTCTTGCGGGTCTACACTACAAAGACCAGCACGTCGCCTTCGAGGGTGGGGAGTACTTAAAGACCGTCTCGCGCGGTGAGCTAAGCATGAAGACAATCCTCAAACACCTCGGCGTAAGCCGCGTCCCCTTGGGGCTCGACTTCTTTCAAATGCAGCCGGACGAACCTGATTCCGACGAGAATTGACTCTCGTGAGACTTTGCGTGGATTCCTTACGCATAGCATGTTGGATCACTCGCAAGCTCATTTAATACATGTAGCTGACATCATTTAAGCATTGCTGAGGCCGTTTTATCGCTACTCATTTAGCTTGTGGCTTTGGCTCGTATCTTTCTACAGCCCTTGTCCAGCTTGCTGTGCCTGCTACCCCACTTAATCGATTGACTTCTTGCCTTCGTCCCCGAATTATTAGCGACCCTTCTACTTGGCGACTGCTTCCTTCGCCACCGCCTCTACTGCATCAAGATCTGGCACCAAGTGCTCGCCAGCCGTCTTTTTGCTTCCTGCAACTTCATCGTCGCCGTCCGTGATATCGCTTGCGCTGGTGACGCCTCTGGGCCTGCGAACGCGCCCACTCTGTTGGTCGAGCCACCTGGCGCCTCCCATTCTAAAGAAAACCATGCTACCGAACGCCATGATGGCCCCGTACCAGCACATGCTGTGGTATGCTGCGATGCTCTTGCCAAAGTCCAGCACCAAGAATGGCGCAACGGTAAAGTTGAGCGTGAATTGCACAGCGGCTATTGAACAGCCCGCGTAGACCAGCTGCGATGGCGAATACCGGCTGAGGGTGCCAAAGGATGGGTTGGGAGCGCGTGTGTCGGCAAAGAATATCGGGCGTACGTGCCGTCGCAGTTGACGAGCAATGGAGGACTGCACGCCGGCAAGGAAGAATGCGACGTAGTAGCCGGGTGCTACACCGTGCCAAAATGCGCTCGTCAGGAAAGTGGCCATAGTTGTCTTGAACCCCGGCTTGCGGCCGGGTCGCGTGAGACGTTTGTATACATTATTCCGGAGCCAGACATCTGGAACGAAAGGAGGAATGTGTTGAGCGCTTGATTGAACATCGCCCATCGATGAAACTACTCACTTGTGTTCATGTTCCAAGCATCCAAGAGCTCCTTCCAGTTGTTGGCGAACTCAATCTTTGCAATGTTGATATTTTGACATCTGTTCCACTTCGTCTTCCCGTCTGGACTGATGCCGTAGAAACCTAAACCAGACATGATGCATGCGCCCTACAAACAGCAGAGGCATAGAAGGGTGTAAGGTCGCGAAAATGATGCAGGAGAAATGTCCGAAACACTTACGTTGGTCAAGCTCCAAACAGCGTAGTACTTTGTCCGCGCGAAAAACCCAGCAGCATTCGCAAAGGCGATTCGTTTCCACCAGGCCCATTCCCTAACGCCACCTTCCGCCACCGGAGTGATGAGGCGGAAGTAGTCCCACTGCGCCGAATAGAGACTGTAAATAGCCATAAAAACCAGACCGACGCCGAGTTCTGTGAGAGCTGCGGATACCCGTCCTGCAGGGGGAGGTCGAGGCTCATGCCCTGGCCCGTTGCCGTTTACGCTAACGACTGGCTTCCCATTTTCACCCTTAGCTTTTTCCGACTTGCTAAGCGGGAATAATGAGCCGTCTGCCCATTTCTTGTAGTCGGCAAATCGCGTGCTAGGACCGATCATGACACCCGGAAAGTAAAAGGCATACCCGAGGAACTCGAGAATGCTGGGCATTTCGGCGATACGTGTCTTCTTTTGTGCGTCGTCGCATTGTTCGACGGAACGTTGGCGGCCGTCATAGCAGTCCCAAGCAAACGTAGTGAGATTCATGACGAGGACCATTTGTGCAGCTGTGATCTCGATGGTGGTGAGTGGAATCGAACCAAAGTGGCGTACGAGATGACTGGCGTTAGATGACGCGGTAGCATCAGCAATCGAACCTCCTCTTCATCGCTACGGGTTCACAACATACTTGATCGTCAAATGCCCCATCTGGCCGGCAAACACTAGCCAGGGCATCCGCTTTCCACCAACCTTGTACTTGACCATCACGTATGTCAGCAAGCTCGTACCGAGAAGCTGCAAGTAGCCGCTATAGAGGTTCATCACCGGAACCAGGAAGAAAGTGGAAAGGACCACATTGGCAATGTGCTTGGCCCTTGGGGACAGATACGGCAATGGGTAGGCTAGGGGATACGACAGAAGGAACAAGCCGAAAAGCTGCATATGTCAAGTAAATCGAATTGATGTCATCTTGAGATCAAGCTCGAATTGCCAGAGAATGAAAGGTCCCTAACGTGCGTCACTCACCTTGAGGTAGTCGACCGGCGTGCCCGACAGGCTGGATAGCTGAGAAAGCCACTCCGACACCATATTGCCGTCTTTCACCAAAAATTAAGAAATATAAAGATCACGGAGGGCTTTGGATAGAACGAGTCCGACGATCTTGCAGATGTGGTGACTTTGCGAGCGTGAGCAGTGACAAAAACGACAACCCGAGTCGCTTCTTAACCATGCACACCTGCGTATTCAAGAACCGAGGTGCCCCGTTACCCCGAGCCAACGCATGCACAAGACTGATAATTCCAAGCCGACCATGAAGGTGCGTCGGTGCGGTGAAGAGGCTTTGCCTAGTGGAGAAGTGCTTGCGTTGGGGACAAAGTCACGTCCATGCTCAGTGCAACGATGGGAAAGAACTTGTTGAGTGGAAGAAGTGATCGAGGATCGGCATGTGAGACATCATCCAAACGCCGTATAAAGCGAGAAAAGTTGGGGCTTTTTTCACCCATGTCACAAAAGCACATGTTCCACCAACCCTTGGCTGACACCTCATACGCAATAATGAGCAACATCAAGATGCGAGCTTTTGTGATGTGCTTCAGACATCATGGAAGGTAAATTGGCATGCTGGGTCAAATGAAACGATGTTTGCGGCTATGTGAGGGGGTACCGTGCTGGCCCAACTGGAACTGAAGCCCCCGAATCGCGATTCCAGCCTGCTGCTCGTTAAGCTATCTCCGCTGCAGCCTTCCTTGAACATCTTGCTGACTGGAGGCCCTGCATGGCTTTTTGTATCGCTGATGCTTCCTATAACATGCTACACTCTCTTCGCCAAACAAGAGAAGGCCGAGCTACTCATGCGAAGAATCGGCCACAACTCCAAGGAGCTGACTCGCTCCTTTCATGAATGTCGAAAATCTGCTTTCAAGTCTCGATGCGTCAAGCTGACACCTCGGACTTGACGATCTCAATCAGACGGACACTCTGTGTACGCGTCCGATTGCCTCCCTTTATCCGAAGGGGGGCACCTCAGAGTCCAAGCGCAGGGCTCCGCAAGAATGTGCCACGGGCGGCTTACTGTCGACACCTTCCCTTGCGAGATGGTCGATCGCTTCTTATCTCGCCTTGATCACTACATAATCGCCAGTGCACTTCCACCCTCCAACTCTTTCCTTTGGTCAGCTTTTCTTGCTTGCAGCTCCCCAGGGCTCAAAGGGCAATTGTCGGCACGTTGCCTCAAGGACGCTGACTTGGATCTGAACACACTAAACCACCTGGTTATCCATGACGTGCTGACTGCACTTTACAATACATCATGCTTGGTATCTGAAGCTAGCAGGAAGTGTCTATGTATCTTCAGCAAGTAATTACATCCAGAAAATGGGAGGATACATCATTGATCGAACCTTTCCTCTTCAATACTGCTCACCTTTCCTCCGACCATGACGTCATTGTGGAAAGCAACCTGCACCAAATTCTGCAGCTGCTCCGTCTATTCATCACTATCGTCGGCCATCACGAAGAAGGAGGGGTGCGCACCAAGGCTTGGGCGATCCTGCTACACTCGATGCTGGCTACAACACCGGTAGATTTTAACCCGGCGCCGTCCTGCTTGCCTGCTCTGCAGCTTGGCAATGCTGCGGACGGGATGCTTTCTTCCTCGCCAGTTACAACTCCGAACCTTACGAGCACAGCTTCTCCCCACCAAAATCTACTGTCGTCAATCTCGACCCCTCCCATCATCGCCAAAGGACCACCTCCCGCCCTCGCCGCCCTTGCAACAAGACCTTTCCGCGGCAGTCCAAGAGGCAGCAATGTCGAATGAGCAACATCTGCAGCATGAGGATGGGACCCGTGCTATTCCGGAAAGCAGAACAGCTGCAGATACGACGGATCAGATGAAAAATGACATGCTAACGGTGGTCGATGGCGACGCCAGACAGCATCGAAACTGACGCAGCCGAACGTGATCGCGGCAGCCGGGACAGTCCATTCACATTTAAAGCCCACGAGATCGGAAATGAGAAGAACAGCAAGCGCCGTGGTTCTTCCCCCACAAGCCCGACCGTTCCCGTGAGCAGAATGTTGCCTCGCCAAACTCAGCTTCCTGCTCCTGTCCCACCCGTGCCACCTGTTCGCGATGAGTGCAACGACTCGCCAACGTTCGGAGTTCACCTTCGCAATCGATCATCCGACAATTACGAGCGATTACGAGCCAACGTCCCCTTGTCGAGCGAAGGGGCACGCTTTGCGATCTCCCCAGGCATCTTTGCCAATCCTGATAATGACCAAGTATCCGAAACGCCAGCCAGCGACCAAGTACATGATGGGTCACTTGCGACGAACGCCAACTCGCACGCCAACACGAACAGCAGCAACAGCATTTGATCAGAGATGGCTGTCACTGGCGGTATCATCAGTCGCACGGTGTCTGTTTCTGCACGCGTCCCACCTTCCGGCGTGGTTCACTGGCAAGACTCGTCCGAGTGGGGAGCGATACCTGACGTTGAACCACCGCTAGTCGCTCTTCGGCGCACATCGCCTGCTCTGGCTGCTGTCCTGAAGCGCTCGCCGCTCATTGCTCCCAGCCGTCAGACTGGACCGTCCCCTGGTACCGTGCACTGGCAACGCTCGCCAGTGTATAAGCCTAGCCCGAGGTACGACTCTCTCGATAGTCCATTCTTAACGAGCAACTCTGACGGTGGAAGTAGCTGCAGTGGCGGCTCTGCA